CGAGACCGAAAAACATGTGTTCGAATCTCGCTTACGGCGTCGTGGTTGTACACTTCTGAGGATCTGTTATGTCTCAAAGTGACAGCCGATTATATGACAGTGACTTATCGATCGGATCAAGGTTTCAGAGACTCGATAGTCTATTCTGGTCCGTTGTCCCCAACTCTGCTAACTCGATCAAGAAGTCCGGTAAGGTGTAGAAAGTGTATTCTACAGACAAACAGCAGATAACAAGTCAGGCAGGCAGATCAGATCAAGCATACAAGTCAAGCGTATTTATACAAATATTTACAATCGATATTGTCATGGAAGATTTTTGAACATTAATCAACAATTGACTGCTATTTGAACATTTAATCGATAGTTCATCAATTGACCTATTTGTACATTTAATCGATAGTTCATCAATTGACCTATCTGCACATTTAATCGATAAGTAAATTACAAAATTTGAGTTTTGGGGATCTATCGTCCCCAACAGGATCTCATACTAGGATGAAACAGACATCCAGTGCTTCTAGGTTTTTAATGGTGGTCTAACATCGATCAGTTCATGATCTCAGTTAATGTAATGCCTTTTTGTTGTTGGTTGTAAATCGATAATTGACTAGACTAAACAAACTGTGAAACATTATTTGCAACCCATCATAATGTATCTTAGAGAAGGCTTGTGAGTTATTCAGTGACCTTAAATTTAAGTCATTTTGAAGTCTTAACAAATCAAACTCAACAGCATATATAGTGTTCTGCGTTTCGAAATTACTTTAATCCACTAACTCTTGACTTGAATTATTTGAAAGACTTTTGAATCAATATTACAATAAAGAAGTATTTTATTAGTTTTTGAAGACATCCCGAAAGGGAAAAGTTCATCCATAGGTCAACGCAAACATACTGTCGACCAGATGTGAAGGAGTAAATGAATAGTATTTTTAAAATTTTGGGTAATTTACTGACCAATAAAAAATAATAGTGCTTACTAGTGAAAATATTTGACGATAAAACGATAACAAGATTACAGTGGATAAATAGCTTTGATATGATTAATAAGCATTTATATGTTAAATTATTTATTTTAGCAAACAAAAAACGTTGTATTTTGAAAAGAGCAAGAACAAAGATTCTAGCAGAATAGCATGAATTCATTTTATTTCGTAGGTTCTCTCTGATTTTTAAATATCACAGGTTCTAAGCAGCTGACTAGAACCTACGAAATAAAATGAATTCATGCTATTCTGCTAGAGTCTTTGTTCTTGCTCTTTTCAAAATGACAAAGGGAACTATGTGTATGAAAAAATGTTGTAGTTTGGTGCTGGCGATGCTTTACTATTTTTAAAAAAATAAACTGATAGAAATTAGCAGTGAGATTTGGAGTAGGACTTGGACAACTCTTCCTAACTATTCATGCACCCTTTACCATGCGATCATATACAATCTAGCCAGGAAAAGGTATTTCTTGCAATTTAGCTTAAGCTATCTATGGTTACATAAAAATATTTTTATTAATACTAAAAATTCTGAAAATCAAATATTGGTAATTTTTACTTAATTCAGATTATGATAAAAATATTTCAATTCTCTTCAGTTTCATGCAAAAACCCAAGGAGCGCTAAGTTAATCCTCATAGGATTACTCAGGGTCAATACACTCGTTATCTGTTCAGGGTTTTTCATTGTACGTATCACCTTAAGGTTTCAGGGTAATTTACCTCTGACTGTCTAATCTGGTGTTGTCTTAGTTGCGCATAACTCTTCTACTTTTCCAAAGTTATTCAGTCACTCGATGTGCTGGAAAAAATTTATGATTATCGGGTTGCCTAAATTCTTTGCTATATCAGTTTAGTCATTCATATGTCAGGTGGACAGAGAAGGTTAATACACAATTTCTTCTAGGCTTAAACCTTTTATAGTATAAGCTTTTCTTGATCTCTATGGTTATATCATTTGTATGTGGTTCTATTTCGTCCAATGTCCTCTCGTAAAGTGACATTTTAGATGAATATATTATTATGGTTGACAAATTTTCTGTATTCCATCTAATAACAATTCTACTAGCTAGATTAACAGAAATATATAGTTATATCCACTGTACAGTCATGCATACTTGTCCTCATACGTGAATATCGAAAAGGGAGAAAATGAAAAGGAACAAGAAAAGAAAGGAGAGGACAATAATAATAGTAATGAGGGCGGAGTGAGGAACGAAGAAGGAGAGGAAAAGGATGAAGAGGAGGAGTAAGGACAAAATGGTGGAAAAGAAAAAGGAGAATAATCAAATATACTAGTGTGAGGCTATGTTATGAAACGGTTCTATCAATTACTAAGATAGAGGATTTGTTAAGACTAGTTAACATTTAAAAAAATTTTATAACACGTTCTCACATTAGGTGTAGATTCACTGAAAACCAGTCATAGCTGACACCATTAGAATCTAAGTAATCTTTCCTGAAATTTATCATTAATAAGCTTATATTTGTTTTTAACTGTACTTAATTTGAAACAAATGTTTAGTGTTCCTTAATTTACTTTAAGTCTTTTGTTGGTGTCAGTTCATGATGAAAGAAAAAGTAATTTTCTTAAATTGATTTGGTAATCAGTACTGTAAGACAAGGAATATTTGTAAACCTTTTGGCATTATCCACAGTTTATCAGTCATAAAGGAATTCAAACCAAGAGCTAACAACATGAATCAACAGTTCGTTAGATTTTCATTTTAACTTCTGATGCGTTCAAAGATTCCATCTCACTTCTATCTATTATTTTTGAAAAAAATGCATTGAAACACTTTAGACAATCCTGTCAAAATTCCAGTTCATAATGTTTTTGAATTGAAATTTCAATCTCATCTAAGTGTATTAACATTTCTGAAGCATTTACAAATCTACACACATACCCTAACATATTTTTTGTGTGTTTCATTTTGTTAGAATTCACCATACCACTGGAGAATAACATTTCTGTCGGATCATACATTATCAATGATAATTTATGCTTGTCCGGAATAGTTTAACCCTTTAGTGATATAAGGAAGTATATGGCTTAGTTTCAAGAATGTGAATAAAAATCTTACAATACTTAGAAATCAAGGCAATCAAACAAAAAATTCGAATGTAACAAGTAAGAAACCTTTGAAAAAATATGTATCTATTGACAAGAAAGAACATGTTTAGGTAATTGTATCAACATATTCGATAAAATTATAACAGAGAATAGAACTTGGTTACTATAGAAATATTCATATTTTTAATGATTATTCATTACCGATAATTTAACTAATTTTGAAATCATCAGAAGGGGTTTGTGGAGATTTTAGAAATTTCACAGATTGAAATCATGATTCAATTGAAGCTAGACCAACATGGAAAACCTGGGTTCGAATCTCACGGGGTGCAGATCGTGGATGCGCACTGCTGAGGAGTCCCATACTAGGACGAAACGGACATCCAGTGCTTCCATGTTTTCCATGGTGGTCTAGCTTCAATTGACTCAAAATTTCAATCTGTAATTTTGAAATCCTTATCAAATAAGGTAAGATATTTACTACAAGTCAAAGAATAATATACACACTAATTTTGTAAAGAGCTGAAAAAGGATTTCAATTTAAAAAAACTGCCACAAAAGTAACGAAACTTAGTTTTGTTGGAGTTTTGTTCTCTGAGCTCCATCAAAATCATCCACTTGAGCTACAAATCTTCTGCACCATCTCATAACGAAACTTAGGTTTTCTTAATAAAGAGGGTTATTGAAGATTATACTATTTGAATTTAATATCCACATATGGATGAAATGAAAGGATTTACTAATATTAATAGTGTAAAAAATGTACATAGTAAATTATGCGAATTGTTATTTTTTTTTGGTTAGAATACAAAGTCTCTTCAACATTTCACGGTATATGATAGAAATATGCACCAACTATTCAATTAATATTACTCAATGGGTTAATCAACAGATCGACGTACAGAATATTAAATTATTTCTTTTATCAACTTTTGTAACTCCTGAAAGTGGATTTGGAAACCGATCTATCCTAGTGTGTTTTATGATGAAACTTTGTGATATGGTTTTGAACACCAGTGAAAATATCAGTTTATTCAATGTTTCTAATACCTTTTACTGATGAGTGATAACTAAGATGACATTGAAACCGTTTGCATCCAGCTTCAAATTTGTACTACAGTAATAAAAACTTGTTTAATTTTAAATTCAATCTCCAAAATTCAAAATACATGTAAGTGAAATTATTTCAATTTTATATTGAAATCCATAAAACTCTAACTCTTGATGAACTTATCTTTATTCAGTCAAATTTCGGCATAACTCCAATAATGATGTTTTTTTTAAAAAAAATGTAGCATCTAGATACTGATTGCTGACAGTAAAGTGATGTATATTTTTTCTCCTTGATCATAAAAATACACTTGGTTATGATAAATTTTATAGAATGTATCTTAAGTTTGCATGAACTGAATAACTACTCAATAGAAAATGATAATAAATTTCTGGTATTGAAATGTAAGATATATTGGGAATTATCAACGAAATTAGTAGTAGTGTCGTGTTTATACAAATATGAAATTAGATAAAGTTGATTAACCTCAAGCTATCTGTTAAGCTAGTAATATGACAAATCTATCAACATGAGTGTTTGCAGAAAAAGAACTAGAGTCTAAGTGTTCAAACATTCCTTGTTCAAAAGGATCAATAATTTCCAAACTTTTAAGAAAGATAAACAGAGATGAAAGGCCAAAACAAAAAATATCATGAAAGAAAACATGGGTAATGGGAACAATCTTCAACAATCATCACATAAGAAAGTACATGTCATCTAAAATAACAACATTGTTCACCAAATATTTTGCCGTAATAATCCTGTATTGTCTCAATCACAATTAAACGTGAAAACGATCTAAATATACATTCAAACTATATGTGTCAAAATGATTGAATATCAAAATCAAACTTCATATAAAATCGAATTTTAAAAAAAAACATACTTACTTTTAGTATAGAACAGAAAAGTGAACAAGATCAGCAAAAGTAAACATGAGTTATTCATGAATTCCATGTTTATCAATAATGATAAAATGAAGATATAATATATTAATTATCCACAAACTCTCAGAAATAATATTCTTATCCAAAACAAATCTTTTTCCCCTTATGATAATGTATGTATCCTAGTAACTTAGTGATTCCATGGTGATAATGTCATCAATCAGTTCTGTGATGAATGATGATGATGATGATGATTATGGTAATGACAATATTTTCGTCAATTTATTAAATCATATCAATGAAAGATGTTCAGGATAAATTTTTATGATTGGTTATCAATAATCATGTATGGTGAATATCTACAATGCAAATGAGGTATATATATATATATATATATATATATATATATATATATATATATATATATATATATATATGTTTTATGTGCAAACACTTGTGCTTAATCCACATAGATTCATGTTTATATATGCATATAACAAGTAAAACAATGTTATTTCTACTAAATGACATAACAAAATAAGAAATTTAAATATTTTAATTCTTTTCAAAATAGAATTTTATAATCAAATATTCATAGTTGAGTTATATAATCTATAGAATTTATATATGGAAGTGAACAATATAATCGATTGTATTTGTAAAATCAAAAACTTAATAATCTCCACAACCCCTATACTAGTAATTATCATGTGCTCACTAGTGACTAGCTTCGTGAGGGAATCCTCAAAGTTCTAATGAGAAGCCGTGACCAATGGAGCTAATCCATATCGGGTAAAGACAGGTATCTACTTCAGTACAATGGAATATGGTGGCGCAATTTCTTGGATTGGTTGATGTTAGACACTATCACCACTGGTTGCCAGCTCAGTGGTCCAGTTGGTTAAGCGTTCGCGCGCGAGACCGAAGGCCCTGGGCTCGAATCTCACGAGCGGGATCGTGAATGCGCACTGTTGAGGAGTCCCACAATAGAACGAAACGGCCGTCCAGTGCTTCCAGGTTTCCAAGGGTGGTCTAACATCAATCGGTTCATGATCTCAATCAAAAACCTAATAATTTCCACAACCCCTATACTAGTAATTTGAAGTAAATCCAACGTTTTGCCTGGTAATCTAATTCAAGCTTTTTCAAGGAAATATATATTTCCAATATATATCTTACAAGATCCTGTGGCCTATGTATACCATTGGTTTAAAATAAGAGTTTTTCAACTACTCCAGATAGATTCTCCTCAAAAAAAAATATATTTCCTTAAAAAGGCTAGGATCGGATCGCCAAGCAAAATATTGGATTTACTTCAAATTCTTTCGTTGAGATTTTACAAATACATTCTTCCTCTTTAATGTCTCACATCAACTCGGCGCCCAAATACTGTGAAACTATTCGTCCAAATTTAGACGAAAGTTTTTATTTATTATTCTGCAATGTAATAGATTTCTCAAATAATTTTGCATTCGTTTTTACTTGTTATATTGATTAGTTTTCCATATGGAAGTATGCTATTTAACAAACAATATTAATGTATTTAATGATAGAGTTTCTATTTAATTGTAAGATAAATAGTATAAGGGTATCCCCTATCTTAGTATCGATCCCAGCGGAGGAAGAAATCAGGAAGAGGCGCTGGAAGTAGATAGGACACACATTGAGGAAAGCACCCAACTGCGTCACAAGGCAAGCCCTCACTTGGAATCCGCAAAGCGAAAGGAGAATTGGAAGACCAAAGAACACGTTACGCAGAGAAATGGAGACAGACATGAGGAAAATGGACGAAAATTGAATAGAACTGGAAAGGAAGGCCCAGGACAGAGTGGATTGGAGAATGCTGGTCAGCGGTCTATGGTCCATTGGAAGTAACAGGCGTAAGTAAGTAAGTATCCTAGTATCTATTACCTTTAAGTGCATGATTTCCATGATTCAAATATATACATTGTATGATGAAGTTTATCAAAAAAATCTCCGGATTATTGATCCAACGCTCCACTGAAAACGGAATAAAGCAGAATAAAGAATGAACTGTCAACAAATAAAATCGTTTTATGCAATAAAATGTTGCATTCATAAGTAAATCACATTTGCGAGTCAAATTATTAGTTTCATGTGGTTTTAGGCAATATTGAATAAATCGATCAAGGAACTCATGTGATAATTAATCTGTAGCGAACTAATCCTATATAACCTAAGCATTTTACCGAACTCTTACCAACTGTATATTTTTTAGGTTTTGTTGATTTGTGTCAATGATTAATATCATAATACTGAATAAGTAACAGATTTAATCTAAGAAGATACGTAGAGTTAGTATGAATGTCATACATTTGGAGTGAAATCGTACCAAGAAAACTTCCATATAAATCTCTATAAATCCAGTCCTCTGTATAGACAATTAAAAAATTTCGATGATTCGTTACGTAGCTTGATGATACAAATTGTTATCTATGACACTCCATTTCTGTTTTTTAGAATAATAATACTTATTTAATGAGTTACTGATTGTTTCCTATTATTTGAATAATTTCAAAGAAAATAAGGCAAATATTTCATTTATTAATTAATTGATTAATTAATTAATTTAAACAAATAAACATTGGTACAAGGAGGCACCAAATAGATATGCGCCACATAAATCATGCCATTTGTGTGAGGGCTGGGATACTGCCTGTGTGGCCAAACTGAAGCAGGTAGTTTATTTTGGGGAGCCACACTCGGAGCCTTTGACCTAAAGGTCTAATCCACAAGGCAGTGAAGCAACGTCAGGAGATGCAGTTCCAACTATAGGTTCATACACCATTGGTTTAGAATCAGGGTTTTCAAATTCCCCTAAATGGATTCTCCTCAACCACCAACCCGATTAAAGAGTCGGACATTCGCCACGAGAAGGCAGTGAGTAGGACTTCTCTGACAGTGGTTGTATGCACGTGGCCGTGTGAGAGTATTTCGAGAGGGAAAGCTGACTTTCCCCACTCTCGGCCGTACCAAGGCATTTAGGGGCAGTGCCAGGGCATTTGGAGGCTATTATTTAGTAAAATAAAGACAATTCAAGGAAAAAATCTTTTTTTTGACAATGTTATTTTGTAGAGTTGTACAAGTTTATTAATAGTTATTTCGCATATAATAGTATATGATCTAAATAGCAAATTATAGTAATCATTCATAAGGTTACTAAAAATTCATCAAAATATTTTCTATTGTCTGAAATAAGTCACGTAATGGTTGAAGTGCAATAATGAGACAAAATTAAAAATGACATATGGAAGAGATATGAAAAATAGTTGACAAGTTTAAATAAGTGATGAGACCAGGATAACTGTAAATACTATCGTACAGTTTCAGAAAATGATATCACTGGGACACAATTTTTATTCATTGGACTGTATTTTACTCAAAGATGCAATGGGTTTTTTCTTTATATTATATGGTGTTTATTTTCAGATTGTTAATTCTACTGATCACTTTTTTATTAGTGTAAATTTACCACTTCATATCAACTATTCCATATCCTTTCTCCCTAAACGGAGAGGTTGGTGGCTCGAGCCCATCCTGAGGTTGCCGAGACATTTGACGCCGAATACAATCAGAGTCACTGGTGACTTCATCTTGCATACGGCAAAATGAAAGCATTCCGCTCAGGATTCCCATCGAACAATAGAAACTAAAAACTACCTGTATATTGTTTACGTAAAAGTGTATACATTTTTTATAAGTACATATAGAATTCGTTAGTATAATTAGTAGATGGTAATGTACTGCTTAATAGCGTGAAATTAATGAAAGAAATGTTTTGGTGTTGTGTTTCACACAGTAAAGGATTTATTTCATTTAAGGGAGATATTCCTTGTGAAACTGTCTAAAGTTCATTTCCAAAGATAGGGTTTAGCGAATTTTCATATAATATACTATAGTCACCCTGTTATATCTTTGTATGAGAAAGATAAGTTGGTACGACTGATCAGTTCAACGTACATATACACTGACACGTTAAGAATATTATTTGACCTAAATTTTAATACAACACATTTTTTAATTTCCAAAGTATTTCAAGAGGAGGATCTGACTCTCTTCACCCTCGGCCGTACCATGGCATTTGTGGACATAATTAAGTTAGCCTGAAATTCACTTTTAAATTAGTTGAACTCATTGTAAATAACAACTGAAATAGTAAAATTTTGGTTTATTTGATAGAAAATATATCTCGTAAATTAAGAAATTAATATGTTCTATGTACCATGAAGCATAAGAACTTGCATTTAAACTATGTAATACTTCATACGGTAAATGAACATCAGTACGTCAGTTTAATAGAAAGCATAATAACATGGCACCACTTATTGGCAATCCAATTATAAATCGATAGTATTGTTTCTCCTTTTTTTCAAATATATTCCACATTAACTTTGTGGAAAATAAACATAAATAAGAACAGATGGTGGTTGGAGGTAGTCGACAGGAAACCCTGAACCCGGGTTTCGTGCTACTTGGCACTCGTGAAGCTGAGTGACACGGGATTGAATCCGTCAGGGAGCATCAGTTCCCTCAAGATTACGGGCACACCTTGCTGACGTGTGCCAAGTAGCACGAAACCCGGGTCTAGGGTGTCCTGTCGACTGCCTCCAACCACCATCTAATCTTAACATAGTGCACGCAGTGTTGAGTCACCTAGACTGGTGGCCACGTTGCAACATGGTCGATAGCATTCGATCTGCACTAATAAGGACTTGACACACATGTCATTGATCACCACCCAGTGACCAATCAATTGTGATAGATAAGAATAGTTAGGTATTTTTGGTCACCGTACATTTTTATATTTCAGAACTGCATGAAAAACTAAAAAAACGGTGAACATCGAGGAGAAAGTCGTTTTTTTTAAAAGAGCGAAAACTTAGAAAATAGAGAGAATTTCTAGTTTAAATGTAATTACATTTAATATGATCGTAAGTTTTAGGGGAAAAATAAACGAAAGAACATTTTACTTCCCTACAATAAAGAAACACTACGAATTGTAATGCAAATTACAAACATTTGAAGATGGAAAGAGAGATTCGTGAAAGTTTTATCGTGATTAAGATCATACAAATATCATCGTTTAAAATTATTTTCAACGAATAATAATAATACTAATAACAATAGTGATAATGATCCTAATTATTATAATACGATTTTTTTCTCTCACAATATATGCCTGTGATTAAGAAACAAGCTGAGAATATGACCAAATTTTACTGCCGAAAGAAAAGAGTGATGTATGCTTTTCAAGATAGATTCCTAAATATTATGAAAAATATATTATACGAAATCTTTATAAGAAATGATGTACAGATATATTTACTATATCATTAAGCTGCATCGTAGTATAGGATACAGTGGACATCTAGGATGAAGCTGGACGATCTAAACTTCGCACACGCAACAACAAATGCAGAAGACGACTATTGTAGCAGCAGTATGTCTCAACATACACAAAGGAAAAAGCAAGATTCTCCGATACATTACAACATGCACCAATCAAATAACACTTGACGGAGAAGCTTTGGAGGATGTAAAAACCTTTACATATTTAGGCAGCATCATTGATGAACAGGGTGGATCTGATGCAGATGTGAAGGCGCAGATCGGCAAAGCAAGAGCAGCATATCTACAAGTGAAGAACATCTGGAACTCAAAACAACTGTCAACCAGCACCAAGGTCAGAATTTTCAGAACAAATGTCAAGACAGTTCTACTGTATGGTGCAGAAACTTGGAGAACTACGAAAGCTATCATCCAGAAAATACAAGTGTTTATCAACAGTCGTTTGCGCAAAATACTTCAGATCCGTTGGCCAGACACTATCAGCAACAGCCTACTGTGGGAGAGAACAAACCAGATTCCAGCGGAGGAAGAAATCAGGAAAAAGCGCTAATTAGATTTTACAAACTACTGTGTATTGGATATCGGAACACTGAAATGAACTTTTAACAACAATAACTCGGAGATAAAACAGAATGAGTTTGTATGAGCTGTTATACATACTTGGTGTTAGGATACCAGAACTATTTCAATTCCAAAAAAATCATCTCAATGTTGTAAGAAAATTCTAAAATAATTGTAATCCTTGTATCGACGGATCAAGTGATCAAAAGTGGTAGTTACATAGCGGTATATTTAAAATTATTTTAGAAGATAAATTTCATTCTTCAATAAAATAACTATCAAAGATTGCATGTTGAATCAAAGACCTTGAAATGTTCAAATAAGTTCCGTCAATGACATGAAAGTATATTGTCTTGAACTGATTATATAACTCGTTACGATAATCCAGAGGAAAATTGGAATTCCAAAATTCCAACTTTAGTAATGTGTGATTAATATTGGTAACAGTTGAGGAAATTTGAAGTTATCTGCAACTATCCTAATATCAATATGTCGGTATATTCCGGGTAAAAATCCCAGATGAGAAACACAAAATGAAAATTACATGCTAATAACTGTCGCTCGCATACTAAAATGAATGGAAAAATAGCTGAAAGTGCTGGTTGTGATACACCTAATGAACATCGAAAAAGTTAAGGTTTGATGTGCCCCCACTTTTATTCATGTAGTCGGATCTATAAAGCCAGACATATTTTTCAAAGAGGAAATGTGATAGGTTGAGTCGGTCAGACATATCAATTCATGATCAAATGATGAGAGCTGTTAATGTGTGCATACCATTGGTTAAGATTTAGTTGAATTATTCGAGGTTGATAGATATACGCTATCGACTAAAAGTTTGACTCAAATTTCCATATCAATGAATAGGCGCATGTATAATTTCCATTCGGGCTAGCCACTAAAAGCTTTCTATTTGTGTTTGGTTTCCTCACTCAAATTTCTGGTTGTACTCTTATAACGAAATTATATACATTAAAATTAAACCACAACGACTGTTTAACAACAAAAGACATGATCTCAACCTAACACTTCCACTGCATTCTACATTTATATACAATAATAAATGAGTATTATTTGGAATAATGATAAAAATATTGAAAAGCTTCAATTATATCAAGTAAAATTATTGAAATATTGATGGAAAAAAAGTGATAATGAAAAGAGAGAGAGAGAAAGAGAAAATAAACGTCTGATAAATGAATGAATACATATAGTATGTTAGGAGAAATTAATTTACAATATATGATACTTTCTTGTAGTGACAATGATCAAATTATCAGAACTCTATAGAGATGGTGAATACAATAACATTGACAATAATAACAAACATTTAAAGTACATAATTGTTGAAAGACTTAAGGATAGAATTAATGATCTAGACTAATCATCCATCCATAAATAGAATACACAAATATACAGAATGTGTAATGCTGTATGTAAAGAATTCAGTTGTTTTTCTTACTTAGTTTCTGATAAATTTTATTTATTAAATAAGTGGATTGATGATAATGGAAATATAAAATAATAACTTATTAAATGATGTAAGTAAGTGGTTGGTAATCTTATAATCTATTTAACAAGAAGATAGTAGTATGACAAAGTTGAACATCTAAATAAAATAAAGCATAACAACATCTTACGGTAGAAATATTTACCAACAAAAAGTAAATAAAAAAATTTTTTTTAAAAAAGAAAAAGAAAAAGAAAAAAAACAGAATAAACCAATATTTTTGGAGATAAACACAAATGGTATTATGATTATTTTAATCTGTTGAACCGGGTTTTAATGGAAATAAATATGTCATGATAAACATACAAATATCTGGATTAGTCCAATAGCTAGTATGTGAAGTCAATAGAGAAAGGTACATATTTTCATAACGTGATATTTGTAATTCAAAATCTAATCGACATTCAAGTTGTAACGGTTCATAACAACATAAATCATTTTCAAATAAATCATTAGATGATAATGATGAAGTAAATGAATTTGTTGTTTTTTGATTTTTTTTATTTGTAGAATTACAAAATTCAGAACATTTCTCTATAGAATTAATTTTCTCATCATTGTCATGGTTAGATAATTTTTCGGAAAGAGTAAGATCTATTCCTCCTGTTTCTTGACTTCCACCAGGTAAATATGGTGCTCGTGAGAAGAAACCAAATAATCGACCTATTTTAATATACGTAAAGAAAGGTAAATTAAGAGTGAAAATTGATAATTTGAAGGCTCTATATATTCATATTTAAAACAACAACAAAAAATAAGGAATAAAGTCTATAACTTACCATTAAAAAGGTTTGAGTTATTCCACTGTTGATATTTTTGGTTCGATTTTAATCGGTTTTGGTTAGCACATGTTCATTCTTAGCGGATTACCTCAATATAGCCATTTTCACAAGTATATAAGTTGCAAATAGGACCAAATGTGCGACTTGAATTCCATTACTAGCCACAGTTCATCTGTTCTATAAAACCATGTGTGGAAAACGGCAATATCGAGGCAATTCAAACAAGATGGACATATCATAACCAAGACTGATCAAGAATATCAACAGCGGGATAACTCAATCTTCTATAAAAATGATATAAATATTATACCAGTTATACAAGTGAGTGGTTATCTGGACTCAGTAGCTAAGTTGATGACACATTGACGCCTTAAGAGAAAGGTACTGTTGTTCGAGTCTCGATGTGAAAATCAATAGTGAGATGCAGGTATTACCAGCTGACGAGTCCCAAATAAGACGGGACGTGCATCCGGCATTCGACTAGTAGCTAAAATCCACTTGTTTAAGGTTTAATTTTAGAATCATATAGAATGTAAATCTTTGGAATGAAATACGTAAAAGCTATGTGCATTATATTTACGAACTCGGAATACGCAGAGATTAAACTAGTAGTGTATATTGTTACCATAAGACACCTTAAAGTTCTCGTATTAGGCGAAAATTAGGACAGAATCATGTAAATGATTGAAGTTGTGGGTCTCCTGGACGCAAACAGCTTATTGTTTGTCAAAATAATTAACACTATTTCGTTTCCTCTATTGTTGCTGAAGATAATTCTATTTGAATTGAACACATTGGTTGTTTTTAAGGGTGGCTAAAAAACACTTAAATAAATTTATGACATGGACAGTTGCTAAAAATTTGTATCGACTTATGAACAACTCTTTGTATTGAAACCGAGCGACTTAGAGAAACATCTTGGCTTAAGAACTCCAGCATACAGGTACGATATCCAGGCACAAAGAGAAATTATCAGTGACTAGACAAAAGAAGTTATAGAGTATATTTCAGCTGATACCAAGTGCAAACAAGATTTTGTATCCGTTTGGTTGGATAATAAAGGGTAGATGCGTGGGCTAACAAGATAAATGTTTTTCTAACGAAAGGCAGAATTATGTATGCCATATAGTCAGTCGACTTCTAGTGTTGTTGAGGTGTTGGACCAGACGCAAAAGATCCTATGTAGTCATTTATGTCAAATGACGTCCTAGGAATGATTGATAGGTGTGTTGTGTTAGCATTTATGGGCACATGAAAACTTTCTAGATTAGATTCTGGAATTTAAGCGATTTTGTGGCTTGAAAATCTATCAGTGGAGATCATCTAGTAGTTTCCTTTCGTGTTTTGTATAAGTAGGATGTATTTCAGTTATATTAACGCCTTTCTACTCGTTATAGGTAAGTCATAAAGTCAGTACGGTTAGCATTTGATGCCTAGGTATAATAGAAAGCTAACAAACATGCTTAATCGACGTCAGTCGAAGATAAAACTCATATACAAAAACTAAACTAGAATTTCAAGTTTACTAATGAATAAAATATAAAATCCAAAATTATTCATAGTCCAGTTATTATTTTTCCTTATTAACTCACTAGCGATTGATGAACGTCTAGAGGAATCTGCATCTTGTGTGGTTATAAGTTGATTTGTATCTGAGCAAGGGTTCTTCGCTACTTGTTGATGCTAAGACAAAAAAAATCAGTAATGTAAACAAGTTGCAATACTTTTTAAACAAAATTTATTTAAATCAAAGTTATTACGTAAGCACAATAGTATGTTTGTAAAGTTAAGCAACTTTTGGAGGTTAGACTATTTATCGTGGATGTTATAGAATACTAAATGTGACTAATATCTGTAGTCGAAGTAACCTGCGGTTTGCCAAGAAGTAACGACAAGCATATCAGGTTACATTAAACATAAAACATTATATTGTAGAATTCATTCTATACTAATTCCCCTAAATGATTACTTTGTACTTTATGTCGATAAACTATTTCGGTTGTAATATCTGTCTCTCTACCGAACAGTCCGATTTACGTGACTGTGCAATTAAATGTCCAGAACAAAACGATTTCCGTTATAACAATAACAAACAACGAATATTGGATTCACATAGTAATTTCCAGAGACGTATAATTATTATGCAATCAATCAACCAATTGATTAATCAGTGAGTATTTGGTAATAATCATTACTGACTTACACAATTTTGTGGTTTTGGATGTTTGAATTCTTTACCAGAATATTCAAGCAAAGGAAGTGTGTCATAGCATGGTTTTGAAACAGCATCAACTCGATGAATTAGAGCTGGTTGGATAGTGGAATAATATTTTAAAATTAATGGTTCTAAACGATAAGCCTAAAATAAGTGCGAAATGAAATAGAGAAGAAGAAAGATATATTATAAAGTCGTAAAAACTATTTTATAAAACTATTAGACAGAGAAATCACTGACGATACATATCTGCTCTTTTTAGTTTAATTATATCGTTTAACATATCTCTTAAACGAGGAAGCATATTGTTAGATAATTAGATACAAATACATATAAATTGGAAATGATTGAAGTTTGGATTACTTTTGAAAAATAACTTCAATTTTATTCTGACTGAATTCATCTTCAAAAATGATACTTATATACATGTATGGAGTGGACATATTTACTTTTTATAGGTAAACCAAATAAATGCAAATACTGTTATTGACTTAGTAGTCTAAAGGTTAAGTGTCTGCCGCGAAACCTTAAGGTCCTTGACTTGATACCTGGTATGGTCAAAAGTATGAACTGCTGAAGAGTACTGTACTAGAACAAAACTGTCCAGTAATTACTGGTTGTCTAACTGATAATATTTCGTAGTGTAAGACATGAAATACTGTTGCTGATATCCGTAATCTTTCTTCTGATAAACCACACTATAGTTGCATAGATATAACAATATTTACATAGGTTATTCAAAACAAAAAAAACAGATAGAAGTATAATATACATTCTTCATATGACAAATGAACAGTTTGTTCAGACAGTATAAACAATAGAGGGTACTGATAATCTTTTGTACTTGAACGCCTAGACACTGACTTCCAAGTCCCCAGAAATCCTCTGCTCTCTAACTCCAAGAATGAAAAACAAGTGTGAGATACGGATTGAGCTTTACTTCCGAGATTGGTTTGTTTATAAAATGCAGGGGTAATCATAGTATGTGACCTTGAGACTCTACAAGCTCCCAGAATCATGTTCAAATAAGTAAGAAAATCGGTTATCATTCAGGCAGATAATGTTGACCTAATCCACCGTTTTCTAGAGGACGCTGACTGCCCGAAATATTTTTACAATTTCACCGGCTTCTGAAAACGTTCTTGAGAAATTATAGAAAGAACTTTAACAAAAGTCAATGTACTACGTATTACTATCATTTTTTTTTAGAAAAATAAGTTAAATTGCCTCTTTCTCACAGCACATGACTCGAATATTTATCGCCAAATGTGTTTAAGAACGCAGACAATGTATCTGTTATCATAACGTTAACAAAAACTGTCATATGATTGACAAGCCACTAAAGTCTGACAACTATTTTGGCTAAAGAAAGACCAAAATGAATTAAGTGATCATCATCTCGTTTATTTAAGGTGATTATAACAATCTTAATGGATTGACAAACTAAGAATGGGATATAAATACTTTTCTAATAAACATTTTTGTCTTCATTATAATGGTAAATTTAATTTTTATAACTAAATGATGTAAAATAAATTCTCTTTTTTGGGTGTATTCGTTGTAATATTGTTACTTCTAGGAGTACATTGTCAAAATAACTTGTACATATAAATATATATTTGGCTTTCATTCTAACACAAGATAGTAAACCTATACATTTTAATTACATATAGTTTTTCTTGAATACTTCCATGTAAAACGCGAATCATAATATTAAAAACAAATATTACTTACTACAGGATCTGCTGGGTGGTAAATGTTAAAAATCCGGGGACAAATTTTTCGAGGAAGTATTGAGTCTTGAGTTTGAAAAGGACCAGGGCGGATACCACGCAAAACCAAGTACACGCCCAAAGGTGAGCCCAAGCAGAAAAGATTTTCTAGCTATAGAACAATGTACATAAGGATTAAATAATGTGTGCTGAAAAACTACACGGTTGGAAAATGAACATGTAAAGAGAAATAACAATGATAATCGCATGTAGTATGAAACAACTGTTTTGTCTTAGTTTAAGACTTACCAGCATCGTTTATTTGGGAGCTTATACAGAATCAAGACTTGGGATAAAGTTTTTGTTATATTACAAATTGATTGAGTACAAAAATAAAAATCATTGGATTTCATCTTAGTGATCTTAAAGACATCGCGTACTCAGAGGTTAAAGCCCGTGTGCAGTGGTGAATTCGTTTGGGTGAGAGGTTCGAAAGTACTTGGAATGCACCTTCATGATGATGAAACGTCATGAATTTAATTAATCACAGTGTATTCATAACACAATAATAACATACTGAAATAAACTATCATGAATAAAACTCCTTTCATGGGCCATTCGACAGATTCTTTGAAATCTAGGTTAATGCCCTTTTAATGTTGAATGACAGTTCTAGTTGTCAGTGTCTAGACCTAATAAGTACATGCAAGTTTCTGTTGGTTTATTTCAATATGCAATAAATTAATAAAAAATAAAACACGAATAGGACTGTCGAATCAAAAAGATTTCGACCTTTTAGTCTACATGAAAAACTAGGTAGTGTAAAGAGATAATCAGATATAAGAAAATAATAAGAGATTTAATATTACTACAGCTTACTGTTGTTAGCAATCTACCAGCTTTAAATTACTTTGTAGCTCAAACTTTATATAATCTAATAATGTTGTTTAAAAACTACTACGAATAGAAGAAACTTAGTGTCATGATAACTCATCAAGTTACCAACACTGGGACCATAAACAGGTGAACTCGTTACAATACAGATAAACTTTGTTAATTTAACGGATCTTCTAATCGATAATACTGAGTGATCAAACAATGGAAAAGATAGGACAATAAATTGAATAATATTCTAAAGACATGATTATGGTAAAACATCATTTCGGAGAAAATAAAACTTACTTACTTACTTACGCCTGTTACTCCTAATGGAGCATAGGCCGCCGACCAGCATTCTCCAACCCACTCTGTCCTGGGCCTTCTTTTCTAGATCCATCCAATTCTTGTTCATTTTTCTCATGTCTATTTCCATTTCTCGGCGTAATGTGTTCTTTGGTCTTCCTCTTTTTCTTTGACCTTCAGGATTCCATGTGAGGGCTTGTCTTGTGACGCAGTTGGGTGCTTTCCTCAATCTGTGTCCTATCCACTTCCAGAGCTTCTTCCTGATTTCTTCCTCCGCTGGGATCTGGCTTGTTCTCTCCCACAGTACGTTGTTGCTAATAGTGTCCGGCCAATGGATCTGAAGTATTTTGCGTAGACAACTGTTAATAAACACTCGTTTCTTCGGGATGATGGCTTTCGTAGTTCTCCAGGTTTCCGCCCCATACAGTAGAACTGTCTTGACATTTGTATTGAAAATCCTGACCTTGGTGTTGGTTGACAGTTGCTTTGAGTTCCCGATGTTCTTCAGTTGTAAATATGCTGCTCTTGCTTTGCCGATCTGCGCCTTCACATCTGCATCAGATCCACCCTGTTCATCAGTGATGCTGCCCAAATATGTAAAGGTTTTTACATCTTCCAAATCTTCTCCGTCAATTGTGATTGGATTGGTGCATGCTGTGTTGTATCGGAGAATCTTGCTTTTTCCTTTGTGTATATTGAGACCTACTGCTGCTGAGGCTGCTGCTACACTGTTCGTCTTCTCCTGCATCTGTTGTTGCGTTTGGGATAGAAGGGCCAGATCATCAGCAAAGTCTAGATCGTCCAACTGCATCCTAGATGTCCATTGTATCCCGTGTTGCCCTTCATACGTTGACGTCTTCATGATCCAGTCGATCACCAGGAGAAAGAGAAAGGGTGAGAGTAAGCAACCTTGCTTAACACCGGTCTTCACTTCGAACGACTTTGTCAACTGTCCTCCATGCACGATTTTGCAGTGTAATCCATCATATGAATTCTGTATGGTATTGACTATGTTCTGAAGCACGCCGTAGTGTCGAAGAAGTTTCCATAGTGTTTTTCTGTCCACGCTATCAAATGCTTTTTCGTAGTCAATGAAGTTGATGTAGAGTGATGAATTCCATTCAATTGATTGTTCCACAATGATCCGTAGAGTTGCGATTTGGTCTGTACACGATCTATCCTTACGGAATCCTGCATGTTGGTCACGAAGTTGGGCGTCTACGCAGTCCTTCATCCTGTTTAACAATACCCTGTTGAAGACTTTTCCCAGTATTGAGAGAAGAGTGATTCCCCTGTAGTTATCACACTTGCTGAGATCGCCTTTCTTCGGTATTTTGATCAGAAGTCCTTCTTTCCAGTTTGTTGGTACTTGTTCCTCATCCCAAATCTTATTGAAGAGAATGTGGAGTATCCTTGCAGTTGCCGCTACGTCTGCTTTTAGTGCCTCTGCTGGAATGTTGTCTGGTCCTGCTTCTTTGCCACTCTTGATTTGTCTGATGGCCATGCTTATCTCTTCAATTGTTGGTGGCCAACATCGATTGGGAGGTCCGTGGGTGCTGTTTCTATGTTGGGTGGATTCAGTGGGGCTGGTCGGTTCAAGAGTTCGTTGAAGTGTTCTACCCACCTGTTTCGTTGTTCTTCAATGTTGGTGATTACCTTGCCTTCCTTGCTTTTCACTGGTCGTTCTGGTTTGCGGCGATTTCCAGAGAGTTTCTTTGTTATGTCATACAGTTGTCTCATGTTAAATTCTCTTGCAGCCTTTTCCGCCGTCGTTGCTAAGTCTTTCACATATTTACGTTTGTCGGTTCTGATGCTCCTTTTCACTTGTTTGTTTACTTCTGTGTATTCAGCTTGTGCCTTGGCTTTTTCTGCTCTTGTTCGACTGGTATTGATTGCTGCTTTCTTGAATCTTATCTAGTGTATCAACAGTGATCCATTCCTTGTGATGGTGCTTCTTGTGACCCAGGACCTCATGACATGTTGAAGTGATTGCCTCTTTGATCCCCTTCCAGTTGCTCTCCACAGTAGTTTCTTCTCCATTGAGTAGATCATGAAAGGCCTGGAACTTGTTGCTGAGGACTATCTTGAATTTGTTGAGTTTGTTAGTATCCTGAAGAAAGGCCGTATTGAACTTTTGTGATATTGTCCGCCCCATTGTCCAGTGCTTCTTGAGTTTCAATTTCATCTTGGCGACCAGCAAGTGATGATCTGATGCTGCTATATCAGCACATACTCAAAAGACACATTCCATTATCAACAGAAAGACAATGAATAACAATTGAAAGTCAGAGGAGAAATCCAATTTAAGGATCCTCGAAAGGTAGTGTGGTTATTAGCGAGATTAGAGTGTAGCTATTTGGACACAAACAACGTTATATATGTATATTATCGTAAACATTGTAGATAGTAAAGCGAACATAGTGAAACTTACATTATCCGCAAACAATAAAGGATTTTGTTGATGTAATGAAGAGTTTGGGTGACATACTGAAGGTTTACTATATACTGACTGGTTGTCCTGATGATTATTACTAACATTTGACTTCTGAGAATCACAATTCATGTGATTGTCACGAGTAAATAGCAAGCTGCTTAATTCCTGTTCTAAATTATTCACCCTGCATAATACATTTTGAAAAAAAAACGTTGACGACATTTTAGCACATAACAGATGAAGAGCATTTTAATGACATACACAGGTCTTGTCAGGATGATTGCCAATGTCCAAAACTTACACCAAAACTAACAGTTATAGACGACAATGGATGCACACTGCTGAGGGGTCCCATACTAGGACAAGACGGCGATCCAGTGCTCCTAGTTTTTCACTGGTGTTCTAACTTAAATTGGTTCATGACATGCAACAGTCTACGCAACTCTATACTGAAAACAGTAAACTAAACATTTAATGTTATATAAGAATAAATAAGTATTGACCAACTATCGAGTATAGTTAGGCTCTAGATACAAAAAAGGAAATTCGGTTGGACAGATGATGACCAATGGTAGGTTCTAAAAGTTTAATGGGTCTATTTTAGAATAAAAGTGTAAAGAATTATGTATTTCCAAACAGAGAGGCCCCCAAAAGCCGTGGGGAGAGACAGCTCTCCCTCTCTAAATGCTCTCACATGGCCAAGTGCATACAACTACTGCCAGGGAAGTCCGACTCTGCCTTCTCGTGGTGGGGGTGTTGTTTACGAAATTGAGAGGACAAAACGCGAATTTCCGGCGCTTTAACCGGGTTGGTGGATACGGAGGGTACATCTAGAGGAGTTGGAAAACCCTGATTTCAAACCAATGGTGTACATGGGCCACAGGATTCTGAAGTAACAAATGGCTTATGAACCTATTGTTGGTCACCGGCTACCATGGGACTGCATCTCCTTACGTTGCTCTACTGCCCTGTGGATTGGACCGTTAGGTCAAAGGCTCGGGGTGTGGTCCCCTAAGAAAACCACCTGCTCCAGCTTGGGCACCCGAACAGTATCTCAGCCGTCACACGAAAAGAATGATTTATGTGGCTCATATTTATCTGGTGTCTCCGTGTACCAATGTTTATGTGTTTAAATAAATAAAATAAATAAACAGAGGCTAAACTCCGAGAACATTATATATTAAAAAATTTTGAAATAACTTGTTCATTCAGTTATAACAACTGTAAGGAACTGTGGTAAGTTATCCATCGGTCCAAGTTACCATAATTTACATCAATTTAATAATAGACCAATGAGATGAAATGGAAATAAATAGAAACAATAATCGATGTGTTGATCCTAGTAAGCCATGTTCGGCTAATGAGCAACTATCTTATAGATAAAACTGATTTTGATTTTTCCAAGTGTCGATTGCTTCATATTGTATTATTAAAGTCTTATTCTAACCTACATTTGGCTATCGATTACTGGTTGGATTATTGTATAACTGCATCACATGATTAAGTAATTTTTTTATTACTCAGTCTAGTCCTACCGATCTAATTATCGAGGGACGTAGTGTCCGGTGTATCAACTATATCGTCACTAACCGTTGCTCATTAACTTCAATGCTAACCAGCACAACACATAGGAGTAGGGTTTTGTTAATTATGTATCTTTACGGACTGCAATTTGGATTCACTATAAAATAAAAGCATCACTAGTAACATTTTTCACAACAACACTTTAAGTTGATACAATAAAATTATGTAATTATCAAAGTAATATGTTGGCTATAAACTCTTCAAACTTTAAATGAATTAGATTAAATATAACTATTATAGAAATGCTATCATCTACAACTGATAATCAGTAAACAATTAAAAAATGAATTAGAAAATTCAACAGTTGGTTAAACCTTCATGAAGCTAAAAACTAAAAGAGAAAAGAAATCTCTGATCCAAAGTCATATTTTTTAGTTAAAGTATTCACTATTAATTTAATTGAAAACTTTTTATACATGTGGATTCCTAGTTCAATTTAAAACCATGCTCATGAGAAAGGAAATTCCCATAAATTTGCCGGAATTAAATATTTCATAAGCTCAGAATTGATTTCCGTAGTGAATGGAAAATCTGTCTTGAGGTCTATAATTTGTGTACAATATTCGAAAACATGAAATTCATCACAGTAAATAATTGAGATGCCAGAACTGTGACTGCACTATAATTTTTTGTAAAAAAATCAAGGGTTTTTGTACGATATTTATTAAACACTGAAATTCGCATTTCTCAGTTAACTGAGGAAAGCTAATTCGTTAAATACATCAAACCAAAAATCTAAGACAAGCACTCACAATGTCCTTGCAGTTTCCAACCGAATATTAACACGAGCAATTTGTTCCAAGTTTCCATTAGACGACAGTCTGTGATCAGGATATAGCACATTCAAGTTATTGTTTGGTAAAGTCTGAGAATAAGTACAAAAAACAAAACAAATTATTTAAGTATAATCGAGTTTCACTTGTTTTTTAGTGGTTGAAAAGCTCTGATTTATTTAGTCATGCAAGTTTAGGAGTTAAAATAGATAAATAACTTGAATGTATCTTGTTACTAAGACGGCAAAAAAAATACGGTAGTGTTAGTCATAATTAATGTAGGACCTAAAGAGAACATCCAGTAGTCTAAGCTGCAACAACTCCGTATAGAGCCTGGACTTATTAATACATATATCTTTTCTACCAAAACCGCATTCCTAAGCCTCAACACTTCCCACTCCGTGGTTTTATTATAGGGGAGTAATGCTTCGAAGATACCTGTAACCAAATACTAGCAAACTGAACATGTGTTCTACTTTCATAAGTTATATCCAACAATAATGTGATACGGAGCAGACTGGTCTGTTTGGTCTGAATTAGGAGTATGGTTTGAAAAAGCAGAAAGAAAAGATTTATATGGAGGAATACTGGAGCTTAAGATTTAGAGATAAATAAGGGATGGATGCATCTGTGCCACTACAATTCGGCACTGTTACCTGTCTACAACCATTAATCGAGGTTATTTTACGAACACCAGACAGCTAGTCTGAATACAATAACATGGATCAGACCAGTAATCAATCACTCTATGGACTGATGTCACGTTTTGGATTGGCCACCACTAGCTTTCTTCCAACCTTCGTCATCACCATCGAACATGCCAAGGAAGGAAGTGGTTCCAGTCAGTCAGTCAGTAACAACGTAGAACTTTGTACGTACGCACATCAGTTCGAGTCGCCACACCACATTAGCACAGAGATGCAGTGGTCGATTCAAATCCCGTAGTGGTAGAGGTAATAAGAGTATAAGCAGTAATCAGGAAAATTAGTGTTTGGAGATGTTATTTAAAGAGTATAATACAGTGAAACAAATCTGGGAGGAGAAAAAAAGAGACAAGGAGGATTCAGGAGATTAAAATTTGGGAGAACACAAAGAGTGTATGCACCTGCGCCATTGCAAACGATTCTGAGCCATGTCATTCAGGGTCTCTAACCATCGGTTGCTATCATCTCGCGGTCCCCAACCAGGTAGTCTACACCTACCAACATGACTCAGTCCACTTGTCAGTGACTTCATGCACTTGTGCCATGTTTTGGTTTGGCCGCCTCTAGCTTTCTTCCAACCTACTCCTATACCACTGAACATCGCACGTCAAGGCAGTCGGCCGTCGGGCATACGTAGCACGTGTCCCAGCCATCTCAACTGATGAAGTTTCACTACTTCATCAATTGATTTGCCATCCTTACCTAGTACCCGTTTTCTAACAACTGCGTTACTTACTCGATAGTCCCAGGATATACGAGCAATGTTTCGAAGACACCTATGATCAAATACTAGTAACCTACGAATATCCTCTACTCTTACCGGCCATGTTTCACTGTCATGGAAGTGGTTCCGGATAAGTAATAATTGTCCTAGCCATTTCAGTTGATGATGATTCACAATGTGATCAATCGATTCGCCATCTTCGAGTATTACTACCCTGAGTCTAACTTCAACATTGCTCATTTGGTTATCCTAAGCTCGAGCTATCCTTCAATGATACTTACGAACAAGTACTTCAGTTTTCGAAGGCAATATTTTAAAAAGTTGGAACTCAAATGTATTTGCAACTACAGACCTATAATAACAACGTTCTATGATTTACTGTGGTGTTTGAATGAACTAATGATACCTTTGTACTTGTTGAATGCTCGATTTCGAATTCCAAATACAATACATTCGTTTGTGCTTGTGTCTCACTTCTTAATTCAATTGCGTTATTTCTGGAACTCTTAGTTCGTGCTATAATTCAAATAATTCAAAACATTATATTTACACAACATGAGATTCAGTACATTAATAATGGAGTGAAAATGACATAACGATGTTAAGTATAGCTCACCTTATCCGTAATATTTGACAATTTTGTGGAAGCTGAATGGAAAAATATATTTTTATCAGTTGATTTATTTAATAAGATTTCAGTTAATGGATCATTATCATGGACTTGATTCCAGCCGGTGATTAGATCGTAAACTAGGACACATCCAAGAGAATGAGCAATTATTGAAACTTTTCCACCTCGAGATTCAAAATCAGGATTCAACCGACGAAACATATCATATAACCTATTGAGTTCACTTTTTAAACTGCAAATAATTTCAGCTCGATACAAAGGACTAGTATAATACATAATATCCATAGCAGAACAATTCAGAACTGTACGAAGTCCTCGAAGATGAACAGGAGTGATTGATTCAACTGTATTACCGTCTAACTGTAAAACAGTTCGCCATTCAACAGGTAAAAATTCCACACGTTTATTTTCTTTATCCAAATGTGAAAAGTAACGAGTTTTTATTTTGTCACAAGTATCACGAAGCCTTTACAATAAAAGAGTGACAGTAAGTTAAATAAAATAAATGTTATAACCAAATGTAGAAAATACATTTATTTATATAAATCAAAGTTTGTAATTCAGACATCTCCTCTAGATCAATGAATCTGGATAGAAAATAGTCAAACACCACACAACTTGTGACTGCAAACACGTAAACAAGACTGCACACAGCCAAGTTAAAGTTTTAAAAATATTATAATAAATACGAAATCGCCCAATATGAAACCAAGTGAAATCAGATTTGAAAGTTTTACGTAACAACAACTTAAACTATTAACATTCAATCCATTCAAGGAATTTATTAACAACTATTTAATCTCAATCTTGATAGTAAAATGGAGTTTTGAATAAATACTCCAACTAACAAGTAGATTGTAAAGGACATTAGATACCCACTTAAACAGATACCTTGATGATAAAGGGAACATGCAAAACCTTGTCAATAATGCAAATATTATTCATAGTTGTAGTAGTTAAATAATAACCTTTCATTGATAAGTCGTTCAGATAGAATTATACATTTAATAGAAAGATAAGTACAAAGAAGAAGTAACTAGTCGATGATTAAATAATGAATAACATTAAGAAAAAATGAAGTATTTCATTGACCGAAAAGATATTCACGTAGAAAACATAATTAATACAGTGCTTTCTGATCAGTTTGCATAGCTTTTAAAGAATAAAAATCACCAACATAAAAACTCTTTGAAAATGTAGTAAACAGGTTAATTGTATACGTAGTACACAAGAACAAGAGCAGCCAAAAAAGTAGGCATAAACTAACTTTTCCACTATGTAATACGCTATTATATTATGGAAGTATCTTGTACAAGTTACTTCGCCTTTGAACGACATCAGTGTTTTGAGCACTGATATGAATACTTTAAAAATACTAACAGTATGAAAAAGTGTAGACATCATATGGTAGCGGGACATAGATTGGATTAAATCATGCTCAACGCACGCTTGAGTTGGTGCACGCTGATTGGCTAATTCTTATCCAATCAGCGCTAGCCGATACATGGAGAATACTCTAGAAATCTTATGTGAAAACTATAAATATACTAACGTCTTCCCTATTGTGCTTCTTGCCTCCATCTAACCTTGTTATTTGGAATAAAATCTCTTTCCTGTACAACCGTTTTCTGATTTGGGGACTTGTCGAGTGATTTGGTGTCCAAGAATACTAAGCAATAGGAATAGCTGGGTTATAACCGTAAGAGAGAATTATCACATCATATGAACAAATAAACAAGAAAGAAAAATACCTGTCTCAAACTACAAAACTGCTACCTTAAAATTAGAATGTCTACGTCATGCATCGATCTACACACACTTAACATAGTAATATCAAACTAATGAATATAAAACTCTATTTGGTTCTTTGTACAAAAGGAATGAGAATAGAATTTAACCGAGAAGGTAGGAGGAAGGGTAGGGTCGATAGCAAAGTATTAAACTATCAGAAGATTAGAGAGAGTAGCCACCACCAAGCATTATACTGTTTCATTGAAATCATGAACCGATCTAAGTTTGACCACCATCGAGAACGTGGATGGCCGTTTGGTCTTAGTATGGGACTCTTCAGCAGAGCACATCTACGACCCCACACGCGGTAACTGAAGTCAGGACCTTCGATCCCCAGAGCGAAAAATTAACTTCTGGACCACTGAGTCGGTATCCAACAGTTCACGAATTCAATGGAATTCAGCAATCACACAACCTCATACTGATATTATACTGTTATTTACTTTCATGTGCACCGTAAGCTCCTTCTTAATCTTAAGTTTTAACAAGATAATGCTAAGTATCATGAGTTTAACTGTATTGGGTAACACAATATTATGGGGAGACCAAGATAACTAAATCAGTGTAATAAATAATAATTAGTTAGTTATTTTTAAAAAGTTGGACAAGTAACAAAAACTATATCAAACGTACTCATTGCAATTGTTCAGAATAAGGTTGGTACCCATTTTTTGACCGATCCCATGGATAACAAAACAAAGGTGAGAAACATCGGCGATTTTATCCTCCTTTAGGGCCAAATCATTAAAACCACGACACAAACGAGTACCGACTGAAATTCGAAGAATTGAGATAAGTATAAATTGCTTTGGGGAAATTATAGTTCATCTGAATAAACTCCAGTGATTTGAGCAAAGAAGTCGTAGTTGTTTTAACAGATGTATTGTAAGAAATTAAAATTCACGGTCGGGGAAGGATGAAATCATACAAGTACTTAGGATTTGGACGGCGTTAAAACGTATCTTATGAGATGCCAACCGAAGTTTTCAGCCATCGAAATTTGGATTAATTATCCGCCTCAGATACAATTTTACTCTAGTATTCAATATTGGTTGACATGGGAGCATATTAAATAGGGATAGGGGAGACCAGAAGTACACATAGAATCAATCAACCGAGTCACTAACCGTTGAACTTTGTCGTTATAAAGTGTCGAATTACAGCTTAATGTTGTGAAATAACCGAAATCACCAAGTGGAGGTACTAAGTGATGTTTCTGGAAGTGGATCTCAGTGATTCAGATATATTTAGTCGTTATTTTTCTCTGTTATAGTTCAGTTTTAATTTATTCCAATGGTTTCCATCCCCCGATTTAACTTGTAATTTCTGAACGATATTTTTAATTCTTAGTTTTTCATAATTATTAATATTACCGCCGTGGCTTCTTTTTATTTGGTTATTTACTTTTAGCCAAACTGATCCCTAGTATAGTAGCTTAGAACGATCCAAAACCATGTCAAGTCTTATGTTGCTCATGAATGCTCAACTAACAGTAGTGAACAAACATGGTTGGTTTTTTTCATAAACTAATATGATATTTCGATATATTACCATTTATCTGAACCAGTCGTTTTCAGGAGTAATAAAAACTTTAATCTACCGTAACGTGTTTGCCAATTACATATTAATAACCTCTCCTTTAATCAACTACTACCCTAATTGAAGTACTCGAAAAGTTATTCTAACTTTTAACCTAATGAAATGATTACTAAAAAGACGCTGCGGTTAAAAACAGTAAATAACCTTTAGAACGATATTAATATATGCTACTTGTAATGAATAGATAACAACTGAGAGTCAGTAATCCCTATGAGTCAAAAGGTGTGGAACATGTTTGGAACTTTATTTGCTTTGTGAGTTTACGTACAGTTGGACATACCTTTCTGCATTCCCAGTTTTTGTCTGATATATAAGCTAGTGGATTCATAATACAAATACAACTCATTTTCTCCATAACAATCGACATGACAATCAGTGAAGTGAATCGTTTGGCAAGCTAAAAAAAAGTTCAGAAAACGGGCGCGAATTGAATCCCCACAATACAACTGACAAAATACATAATAGCAAAGTAGTAGAGCTCGCTTCACTAGTGTCTTAATAACATTATTTAAGAATTTCATGAGTCAGTTTTGCAATGGTAAGAAAAAAGAAAGGTCGATTTAAATCTGAACTAGTTGATATTGCAAACCAATCTCTCGTTTCACCTACACCGCAGTCGAAACGTTTGTTCAAATACCACCTGATAGCAAGTCTGTTCATCGTTGGTTTAATGACAAAAGGAATTTGTTTGCACATAGGAAGTGAAATACACAAGTGGTTTTTGTATATAATGGGAAACTAGTATTACTTAATGAACGGAATACTTTCCGGAATAAGTGAATCCTCGTTATGTTTTCTTTATGTTATGTATCTAAATCTCAACATAACTCAGTAACAAATTCTGTAATAGGCTTTCAAGCGTACTTATGAAACTAACAGAACTAAGGATACTGATTGTAATTTGAAAAAAAATTAAATGATACAGGATTCAGACCTACTGGTTAGTGGTTGTAATGCATTTGTCTTAACCACTAAGCCATTGACCAATGGCCTAAAGAAGTAATTTTCAAGTGGTGACGGCAAGTTCAGACACTGCTTTACATACTTTTGTGTTGGTGTCATATAGTATTCCTAGGTCTCAGTTTAAGCAAGTATCGAAGCCTAACACACAAACTGAGGCTCAGTTACCAAGATTATAATACCTTTTAGTGTTGATTCGTCGTATTAAAAGTAATGGAGGGATCTTTACAAACCGTTTGACGTATCGCCGTTAACAATTAATTTTCTGTTCTTGAACAAACAGCATCTCTTAAATGCTAGTGATAAAATATTTCAGAACTCATACTAAAAACGGTTATTTACACGGTTTAATACACAACATTCACAATATAATTATGAAGAACACATTGATATCGTCACAAATCTACGTAAAAGTGATTTAAAGCACCACCACCTGTTTGCTATTTGATGTAGGCGTACATTTATTTAGCGACTGATTTGAACAGTGTACTCACTACTAACTACAAGTGTTAAGATTCATTTGCCTGACTGGATTTAAAATACTATTTATGAATTGGGATGTTTCTTTAAGCAAACTGTCATTAGTAGGTTTTCATACTTAACAGCATGAACATGATGTAGAAGGCTGTTATTATTTCATGCACCGAAAACAGCAATTAAAGTGGGAACTATATGGACCTGAGGAGATTTGTGGGGTTTGTATATGACGTTTGTGATGAGAACAGACTTATTGTAATTAAAATAAATACTAACAGTTCATGAAGTATCTTATTAGTTTTTAGTGTTTCCAGCTAACAACCATGGGATAGCGAAGTACGTGAAAGCAAAGAAGCAATGTACAAATTACGAAGTTTTAAATCAGTAAACTTACAACCTCACTTGCAAAAAGTCCTGACAAAGTAGAATACGAGTAACACTGTGGAACTTACGAACTCGTTTTTTCAACACAGTGGAACCACAGACGTTATCATCTGAATAGTTTTCTACTCCAATTGTTAAATCTTTATTTTCAGAACGAGAGGACTGAGAATTTTCGTCAACCAATTCGCTTGCTTTTATAGCATCTGCATACCGAAGAGTTGGAGCGCTAACAACAGAATGAAGTGGTGTGCTGACATCTATTCTAGTGAACAAACTGCTATTTGAGTACAAAGGTTTATCCGAGATAGCGATATTCTGAGGTTTTCTTAAGTACCAAGTGATGTACTCCGCTTCTAAACGTTCAGCCATTGACTCATCATCAAAAGGTTCAAGGGTACCACCATAACCTTCGCGAAACCAAGTGCCGCGCAAAATACGTGCGGGACACCTTTCAACTGAAGAGAAACCAAAATACAGTTTACGCATATCTAATAACAGTAATCGGTTACTGAAATCAATGAGATGTAGACAAAATTAGTTTTAGCGAACACTGAAGAACTCAGTTCTTAAATAAAGGTTTCATGTTTGTAATTTAAGACGGGTTTAAAATCTTATCTTTCATACTGATAACACATGCAATTACTGCTTAACTATTTTACCCACTGTGGGGGAATATATTCAGTTATTTAAGATGAAAAACAGATCGCTGGTCTACCCTTCAGTAAACACATACCAACCAACACGCTTAAAATATACGGAAATGCGTATCCCTTGCCTGATTTAAAAAATATCTAAGCGCCTTCGCTATAGAAAAATGACGTTTTAAGGATATAAAAAATTCTACTTCAGGCGTAATACAAAGAACTAGAAGTTAAAGTACATCATGTTTAACTGAAACATTCAAAATTAGCAGCTTTAACTGACTATAGTTCGTCTGTATTGTATCTTTGAATGATATTGAGTCCCAGTAGACAATAAAGGAACTGATACTCAGAATGGAAAAGCAGAGAACGAAATAAAATCACACAGTAGACTTAAGCAGATATAAACGACACAGGAATACATCGTATCTTAAACGAAATTTACCCGGCCAGTAAGTAGGAACACAACATCGCCTATCAATATCTGCTTCATAAAGTCCACCCCTTACAGATACTTTGTGATTGACGGAAGACTGTTTTGAGTTGCATATTCCAGCTCCAGTTTGATCAACCGGACAGTCGCTTTTATTACAGACAAGGCGGCTTCGATAATTCAACTCCAAATTGATAGAATCGTAACCACTAAACGGTACCCAACGTTTGTTGTTGGAGTCGCGATAAAACCAACGAACCTGAGTCGAAAACTTTAAAGTATTTTAAAAACTACTTGTTCGACTTTAAGTCCAAGGTTATTACTCATGTGCATGTTACGGGAGTTTGCGGACGATGAACCATTACAATTCGAAGTGGAGCCAACAGAATCACAAAACAGATGCCTACAAATCTATCGAAGGAGTAATTTAATCGAGAAGACCAGAATATAATTTTGGTTTACGAAATCTCCGATGAATAGAAATAACAGTTAGCCTGCGCTGTCAATTTATTCTGCGCGCTAAGCAATCTCTAATATCATTGATTTAAGTTATTGCATCAAACAGTTTCTGATTCGATGACTTGGTTCAAATGGTGCAAACGGTTGTGGATGGAATAGAAATAGCTTTCGCTGTTGAAGATTATGTGGAAAGTTCTTCCATTGAACAGGCCAAAAATGCGCATCAGTGTTACCAGTACGAGGTTTGCTCTAGAGGCATTTTTGTCGCGATTAGCGTAAGACTTCAAATCGTAGTGTACCAGCAGTCCTAATTTTTTTCAAATTGGGTACTTCCAGAGAGGAGTTTCCTAAGTTGTAACTGTAGTCTGCAACATGTCTCAGATAGACTACTTTACATTTTGAAGGGTTAAAGGTAAGTCCGTTGTCGTCTGCCCAACTTTGAAGTCGAGTCATATCCTCCTGAAGTGCCTGTATATCCTCTTGGTTGCGTATCTCTCTCCAAAGTCTCACATCCCCAGCAAAAATTAATAAGTCAGACGATACCTGTTGTGGAAGATCGTTTATACAAATCAAGAATGGTGGATGGAGCTTCTGTTTCGAAATTTTAGCGATGAGGAAAACGTCCTGAGTGAATGATGTTGTCATACTTTGATTGTGAGCCTGTAGCCTAAAATTCAATTCGATTGTTTGTGAATAAAATAAAATAAGCTTTTGCTTAACAAGCTTTCATATATGATAGGACTGAGTTAGTGATTTCTCATCGTAATGACAGTGATATGAAACAAGCAAATCCGAAAGAGATATTGATAAATTCACAAGTCGTTCTGATCTCTTACGAATATATTTAGTTTCCTCTTAAAAGACTTCGGGAATCTGTTTGGTGCACTTCAACTGGTGGGCATTTTTAATGTTTTGAGATTAGATGGTGGTTGGATGTAGTCAACAGGAAACCCTGGACCCGGGTTTCGTGCTACTTGGCACTCGTCAGCAAGGTGTACCTGTAATCTTGAGGGAACTGGTGCTCCCAGCTTCACAGTCAGAGACGTTACCACTGAGCTGGGTGACACGAGATCGAATCCGCCAGGGAGCACCAGTTCCCTCAAGATTACAGGTACACCTTGCTGACGAGTGCCAAGTAGCACGAAACCCGGGTCCAGGGTTTCCTGTTGACTACCTCCAACCACCATCTAATCTCAATACATAGTGCCCGCAGTGTCGAGTCACCTAGACTGGTGGCCACATTGCAACATGATCGATAGCATTCGATCTGCACTAATAAGGACTAGACAAGCATGAGATTGATCACCACCCAGTGATCAATCAATTGTGACTTTTAATGTTTACACAGCAAAAAGTATAACCATTATTCAACCACCATTGGTGCTTTTAAACCCTCGAATGTTTCCCATGATACTTGTGTAGGAAATGAAACTAAATTAGTACAAGGTTGCTACGGGTATTCCGGGATTTACAACTAATTTTCTCTTCACAATTTCATAATCTACGGATACCAAACCAAGTGAAACCAGAAGTCTGAAGTGAAGGAGTTTGAGGAAGCATTACAAATGCAGTAGGTATGTCATACCTTGTGTGACCCGAGGTGGTTAGAAATGGTAAGAGAGGCGGACTCAATGGTGATCTCGTGAGAACATATAACCGGAAGCTCTTATTTAGAATATATACACCAAAGCTATTGTAGCCACCAAAAACGCAAAAGAGTTACAGAGCAGAATATTTTATGGCTTTATTTATTAATACAAGAGAGTGGCTAGCTGATTCGTACCACTTAAAGTTCAATTTTGATGCAATATGCACCAGGATTTCAATGTTAGTTCCTGGGATGGTGGTCTTTCATGTGATTGAACGTCCTTCTCCATGCGTTAAAAGACGCAGCGTCGATCACGTTTTGACGTAGGAAATTTCACAAACTAATCATTCGGTGGGAAGGTCGATAGTCGGCCGACAGGTAATTTGTTCTGAGCTAATGGACTTGTGGTGTATTGGTTTTCAACCACACGTCCCTTGAAGCAGAACATGCGATAACTGGAAAGACTCACACTCAACATAGATTAGGTAGTCACACAATGACCTGCTTGAGCATCTGGGCTACCTGTTCCTGTCATCTAGATATTTCAACAAGTTATCTATTTTTGTTTGTTTTAATATATCATTATGTTTATTAATCGCACAACCTATTCTGCTGCGTTTCTGAAAAGTGTACAACCTTTCGTTGTCAAAGTTACAAACAACTCAATAAGAGACAATGTGGTTGCTGGCAATATACAACCAAAAGAATGCATATTATTCAGATGTTCATTTAGTGAACTGCTAACATCTAACTGGCGATCACTAAATATTTATCGCCAGGACCGACGAAGAAGAAAGAAACGGAAACTTATTGAAATACTTTACGCTGAGAATTCTATATTGTACCAAAAATATAATATTGAATAAAGCTGATAATAATAATAATAATAATAATACAATTGAGGAATAGGTCTATTATTCTAGTAGAGTAGATAAGTACGCTTGGTTAAATAATGCTACAAACTTTTCTCAAATGTCATTGCGAATTCTCAGTTTTGAAAGACAAGAAAACTAATGTCATACCAGATGCAAATTTATCACTGAGTGATTTAAAATCTGATCACGTCACCTCTAGTACTTCTATGTGACGAGGGGAGTAGGCTTAGTGTGGTGTTTGTATGAACTAAAGATTCCTTTGTAGTTGTCCTAATGTGGTGTTTGAATGAACTCATGGTTCCTTGGTACTTGTTGAATGCTTGATTTCGAATTCCAAATACAATACATTCGTTCGTGCTTATCTAGTACTTCTTGATCCGATTAGGTTATTCCTGGAATTCTAAGTTTGTACTACAATTCAAATACTCCCAATCATCATATTGGCGTCGCGATTGAGCCTGTGGTGGAACGGTTTGACATACATTCAGATTTTGATGCTTTTGAGGATTACTTGAAAAGTTTAAAAATCTGGGCTATGACCAAGGAAGATGATGAGGATGTTAATATTGTAGCACATTTCCTCACATTCATCGGAAAAGAAGCATATAGCATATTGAAAACTCTGGCTTTACCGGGAAAGCCCACTTCGCTTTCTTATACAACTCTCAAGGATCTACTGCTAGACTATGTTAAGTATATAAACCTCAAGTGTGGTAAAGGAGGAAGATTTCGTAAAATGATTCATGAGGATATAAAGAATTCCCCTACATTACGTCATCCCGACCCAGTACATACTCAAGGTTATGCAGATAATTCATTGAGGAGTTTGGATTCAGTTCACGAAGATGGGCACAAGTTTGGTCAATGTTTGTCCTGTGGCAGGTTCCACTCCTTTAATTCATGTAAATTTCATAATTCTAAGTGCTTTGAATGTGGTGATATTGGACATATTCAATCAGTTTGTAATGCTAATGTTCACCTTGCTGCAACTAATATTAAGTCTTGTAATTCTGATTCTATTAAGTTGAGTATTAATAATGATCATTTATCTTTATCAACGATTTCAAAAGACAGCGTAGTGTCATATAGCAGTTCAGAGTTAAGTGAAACTCAGAATTCTTGCAAGACAACAGTTCCTAATCAATCAACTTATCAGATTTCTCATGTTATTGTACTGGATATAGCTGTTCCGAATAACTCACTTATTTCTGACGAAATTCCTTGCAAATCTGAGGAAAATATGTTGAATGAACCTAGTCATAATCGAAAACCTGATGTAGTTTTGATAGATGGTGATTTTTCTAATGATCCTGTACTCCGCAATGACATTCTTAATAAATTTGAGGAAGCTATTTCAGAAGAACCAAATCTTGATGTACTATCAAATATTATTTGTTCTCATAATGCATTTGTTGGTTGTGGGAAACTTGTTCAGTGCAAAGCACAAGTGCTAAATGAGCTCGAGTTTGATTACAATTCGGATGACTTCATATTAACTGCTGTTTACCCTTATCACAAAAACAGTTCTAATATTTTTTCTAAACAATATGAGAAATATGTTTTAAAGGAAGCCACATTATTTATAACTTGTGGATATAATGATCCAACATTATTTCGTGGGGGAGGATAGTGTTGGGCAATCTGTGCTTGAAATTCTAGACAGTGGTATTGCTACACAACCGACACGGCGGTTGTATACAATCCTAGCAACCAAGTGAGTTTGTTCCGATTTCGGTTGTTAATTCTAACACTAATGAACACATTCTAGGTAATACAAAGTTTTTGTCCAATACAATGTCGGACAGACTCAGGATGAATTTAAGGAGACGTACAATCGATTACAGACACTCAGACTCTAATTTAAGCTTCATTTCGAACTCCAAATGCTGTACGTTCGTGATATTTTTACTAATTACTAAACCTTTTATTCTGTGGGCGATCTGAATAAAAAGAACATCACACTCGATGGTGCTCACACAGTTCTCTCTTGTTGGGCGTGCTAGATCCACAAAAATCACTTCGTAGACGTCTTATTTCTGTAATATTGTTGCAGAAATTTGAATCTTTTTCTCATTTTTGTGCCAAAAGCATCCAAATTTACCTTCGGATTTTATTTTCCACATGGATGGACCCCAAATGTTATTGGTTCCGTCTTTTAATATGCTAATTGTTGACGTTCTTCAGGAACCTTTTGATGCTGTACATGTACACTTGAGTTGCACGCTTGTTGGTTACGTGCTTCTGAATGCTTGTGGAATATACTTTTCCCTAGACCGATTCTGATACTCACCCTTTGGTTGGCCGAACTGGGTGGAATCTGAGTAGTTTGGCTTTTACTATCGTTGTGTCGCCGATTATTGGTTTTCTTATCGATTTTAGGTGATCTCGTAAACTCTCCAAACACAGTGTCTCTGGCTTGAATACTGGCCAATACGTGACTCATACAGTGCGAATTGGGTATATCTGGAATTCATTTGCTTCTACTTACCATACGAACACAGAATACTAAATCGAAGAGGGTCTTTGTTGAGTCGGCTTTCGGAGAACTTCAACGGAGCCTCCAGAGGCCCAAAAGGAGCCGAAAAGTCCTAGCAAATCACAGTACGATGGGGCACTCTA